CCTCGGTGATATTTCCCGAGTTTAATGTTGTTTTATTAACTCTTTAATAATTTTGGGTTTCATAAAGTTTACTCCCCAAACCAGCCGACTCTTAATAGAAGAAAATACCAAGTGTGCTAGCAACTGCTGTGCACAATAGGGTGCTGTTTCATTTATTACAACAGCCATTCACATAACATGTTCTAAAAGTAGTACATACCTTGGCAACACTAGATTAAACGTATACTGTTATTCTTCAAATAGTAGTTGTTATAAAAAATAGTAATTAAAGCTCACATTCCTAAGTACTTCTAGGAAAAATAACTGAACCCCCAAGAGCAACATCAGCTTGTTGAAATTACCTCCATAGTTTAGTTTTGAAAGATTTCTATAAACAGTAATATTCAGACAAATGTAAAAAATTCAATTAATACAGAAGGTAACAATAATCTGATGTAGCCATGAGAGCCTAGTGAAATAAATGAAGTAAAGCTTGTGTAAAAATGTATTTGCTCAACAACTGATAAAACTGAAACAAAGGCAGTAAATGTCAACTTATCACAACAAGCCTGACTTCAGTCAATGACATGTTTTGCTTCTTAGGTATGGGACTATTCTTAGCAATGGATTTAGGATCTACATGGCTGTATTAAAGCTCTGCATCAGGTACAGTTGCCTGGTCCTAGTTTTGCCACATTTGTAGGAAAAAAAGGAACAGGCAGAAATCTGCTACTCCTGCCATTTTTTTTGCAAAGCTATGCTAATGATACAGTAGCTGACAGTGGAAATACCAGAGCTTCTGGCAGGAAAAGATTACTTAATTTTCAGCAAGAGCTTAGACATCTGCAGAGTCTACCCAGACTGCTGCTAAAGATATCACAGGGAAGGCAGAGCTGTTTGTGTAGCTTCTGACAATGTGGGGTTGTGGGGTTTTTTGGAGGGAAAATCTTACTGTTCTTGTCATTGTTAATGATTTATATATTGGGGAGGGTAGATTTAAAAAGTTTTGATTATGAATAGAAGTTATTCCAAAAGAAAGAGTCATATGCTCATGAAAAAGAAATGTGCAGGTGTAGGCTCCTCTTCTGAGAGAAAGGTTTCTGTATCTTCTTTTTTATGCCACTGAAATAGGGACATGAAATTTAGAGAAATGTCATGTACTTGTCAGTCCCAAACAACTGTCCTTACCAGAACGCTGCTTGACTCCCTGTACTTTTTCAAAAGCTTTGTCTGTTTCATGTTAAGTTTATGGTTCTTCGCCTCTCGCTTAAGAACTTTCTCTATCTGTGGAGACACTTTCATCTTTGGTTTGAGACGCACCCGGTAGCTGTCAGGAACCAGGAACTGGAAGCAGTAAGGACATATCCTTTCTAATCCACGTTCATTAGCTACAGATAAATAAAGGTAAAAGAATGAAAAAGTTATTTTTATAAGCAAAGATTCATAGAGTATGTTTCAGTTTCAACAATACCTAGGTACGTGTTTTTATGTTTAAGATACAACTAGGATTCCAGAGGAAGTTGGGCACCAGTATGTGCTCAGCTAAGCACAATTCAGGGTAATTTTATGCTTATGGTGTAAGTTTACACAATATGTAACTGCAGATTTTACTGAAAAATGGAATTCCTCTCTGTAAATCTTTTAACAACGGAGGCTCACAATTCTGCAAGGAGCTCCCTGCAGGCACACTCTTGCCAGATCAGGGACACCAAAGCCTTGTAAAGCTCTTTGCCCGTTTTAAGTGCGAGAAAACGACCGCACCTCAGCCTGGGATAAAGGAATGCTTTGAGATAATTTTCAGACCCAGTAAGAGGCTCGTGCATCTGCTTTATCAGCTCCTGCTACCAGAGCCGGAGTCGAGCCCCTCTCCCTACACCGCTGAGGAACACCTGGCCCCTGCTCTCCGGCAAGCTCGACGTTCCTGGCGGCAGCCAGGAGCACAGCGCGGCACAGCCCTCCGGGTGCAGCGCGAAAGGAAAGGGGATAATGGAGGAAACGGGAAAGGCGGCATTCCCACGCTCCTGCCCCTCGGCAACCTCTGCGCTGCCCTCCCACCGCATGAGCCTCTGCTGGAGGGGCGCCCTGCTCCGAAGCCCCTCTCCTCCGGCCCCTCTACCACCGTGTGTCCGGGGACCCTCACTCGCCTCGGGAGCTGCGGAGCGTCCACCTGCGGGAGAGAAGGGGAAGCGTCACGGCACCGCCACCGGGCGGGGACACCCCGCGCGTCACCACCGCGCTCTCTCTCCCACCCACCGCCACCCCCACCCGCGGCGCGGCTCCTTACAGCAGGAACCGCGCCTGTCCCGGGCAGGCTCCCGCCAGCTGCGCCGCCGCCGCCGCCAGCGAGCCGCGCCGCCCCATTGGCGCCGAGCCGCCTCCGCCCCCGCCGGGAAGGGAAGCCACGGCCGATGTTGCAGCGCTCGGCCGAGCGCCGGCGCTGCCCGCGGCCCGCAGCTTATGGTACCGGGCTCGGTGGGCCCGCGGTACCGGCGGGTCGCTGGGCCGGGGCGGGGGAAGGGCCGGGGTCGCCGGGGCTGGCGCTGAGAGCGGCGGCCGGGGCCCCGCGGCCCGCCCGGGGGTTCGGAGCGGGCGGAGGGGCCGGATGGGGAGCCGAAAGCCCGGCCCTCACCGCGCCGCCCGCTCGGAACGGGGAGTGCGTGCTCGGGAGCCGCCTGTGTCTCCAGCGACGTGAAAAGTTTTGCCTGTAGGGAAGAAAACTTTTACCCTAGGGAAACAACATGAGGAAGAACTTGGCGTTGAGGGTGGCAGAGCTCTGGAACAGGCTGCCCAGGGACGTCGCTGAGTCTCCCTCTCTCTGGAGACATTCCAAACCCACCTGGACGCGTTCCTGTGTCACCTGCTCTGGGTGACCCTGCCTTGGGGTGCCTTCCAACCCTAACTATTCTGTGATTCTATGGGGAAAAAAACAACCAAACCCCAAACCAAACCCTACGGATGTCTCTGTCAGGGATTGTCACGTGAAGGATTTGCAGCAGCAGCAGCTCCAGAGTGACGCCTGATGCTCGGGAGTGCTGAGCTTAACCCGTCGCCCGCTCTATTTGAGGTGCCCTTCTATGAATTTTGGCAACTGCATACTTGCTTTATCGCTCTGCAAATGCACTCCCATTAAAAAAAAAAAAACCAACCAAACAAAAACCAAAAAAACAAACCCTCAGCTTTTCACCGTTTGATGTGTGTCCTCGGCCCCATTCATTTGCTAGACGTTTTCCTCCTTTGATCTATCGGTAATGGTGTTCATTTAGGAGAGGTATTCAGCTGAGCAGGCTTCGATATTCTATCAAGGAATTTGAATAAATACAATTATTTCTTATTTTCTAACATGGAATAGCTAAAAGCTTTAGACATAGAAAAAGCATGGGGCAAAAAGGAATTTCAGGGCTTCCTTTAATAGAGCTTTACAATGCAGTCAGTAAATCTGGCTTGTTAATGAAATGTTCCTAATAGCTACAGTTAGGGCCTCTGCTGACTTTTATCTTTGAATTGAAAATAATTTTTTTCAATGAACCTTTCAATACTAAACTTTTATTGCCATGTTGCTGGCTTGGTTGATCATAGTTTTTATGTGAACTCTATCTTTCCTAAGTGGAAGAGCAGGGATGTCGTATAATATCTATTTAAAGCACGACCAGTGTTCATCAGTCAACAGATTTTTTGGCAAATTAAATATTCCTGGTTATTAATATTGGTGGGAAAAAAATGAATGTATTTTTTGAACGCAAGTACAGAAAAATAGTTCCAACACTTTTTTGAGGGGTGGGTCTATTTTTATAATTTTTTAACCATGCTTGCTCCCTAAGAGAGTTGGTTGCAGAGAAAGAATGGTACAGCAAGATAATGCCATGTTCTCTCCCAGCCTCTGCCTAGCAAAAGGGAAATGTGCTGGGGATTTATTCTGTTGCCTGGAGCTGACAGACCGACTTCTTCCTGCCCCTGGAATGGTGCAGGTGGGCCAGAACACTTGCACCAGCACCCTGGTTTAACTTTTTTTTGGTGAGAACAAGTGCCTGAGTGACCTGGTTAGCAAGCACCGTGCTTTACTTATTAAGCAGTGACTAATACAATGCAAAGGATTAATTTTGATTTCTCCACCAACTGCTTCCCCCTCCCCCACACTCTTACACTCTTCTTATCCCTGCTTTTTTCTTCTCAATCTCTTACAGTCTGGCTGAAATGCTGATTTTTTTTTTTCCTCTGCTCCTGAAACAACTTTGGGCCATTCCCTTTTTTATCTTAGTTCGCTGGGTTCTCTTTGCATAATAGATCATCTTTGTCCGAAAAGCAGTGCCAACAGCCACTCCCAGTGCCATTCATACACAGTATGTGTCTTGCCCCGGATCCTGTCACATGATGTTTCCCATGTTAGGTGTGGTGCTGAATGTGCTAAACAGAACTCAGACACAAAGGGGAAATGACCCAAACCCATGGCCTTAAATTCATGGCTCTCTACCAGCCCCTTCATGCAGAACTCCCATCTAAAGTCAGTATTTCTGTGCATCCAGTGCGGGCAGGACCAAACCCTTAAAATCAGATAACATTCAGATCTCCAGTACAGTATTTGTGGCATCAGTGGGGTGAATTCATCTGCATTTCAAGGCAGAATGCATTCATCTGTACTTTCTCCTGGCTTTTGTTCGCAAAAAACAACAAAAAACCCCCCCACATTAGCAGAGCCATGTTACTGCTTCCTGCTTCTGTTGTTTAGTGTTTTGCAGCTACCACGGCTGGCCAAGAAGCTGTAAATCTTGCCTTGTGTTCTGTAACAAAGAGAAAAATAGAATGATTTGTGTTGACTTTTGGTCATCGTGTATCATTATCGATCCGAGGGAGGGCGGCGGGGGAACGCGTTACCGTGTATCTGTTGCTCGCCAGTTCTCCGGGAAGGCGGCGTTACCCAGCAGTCAGTAGAGGGCAATAGAGAAATACAGTTTTGTGATGCCTAAAGGATTTGAAGCCCTGATTATGTGTTTACAGAAAAGAAAAAGAAGAAAAGAAGAGCCAGGAGGATAGGTTGTTCAGTTTACTACCGGAGACCTGACTGTGACAGACTACCAAGGAAACAAAATTTTCTAAGAGAGTAAAGAAGACCTTCTGCAGCATTTGCAAGGGTCTCCTTTTTTGCTTCAGAGTTACGTGGGATAACTTAGCCAGAACTTATTGATGTCTGCATGTTCAGTGGACTCGGGAATGGACTGGGAGATGCAGAAAGGCACTCTTTGGAAGGAACAGAAGAGGAGGCATTTCAAAAATCCTGCAGGTGACCGAGGTGAGCAAACTCACAGCTTCTCTTTCGGGTGAGATAATAGATGTTCAGTCAGCTGTATAAAAGTCATGAGCAAACTGAGTGAGTGATTGAAATTAGATGAGAATTTTGCTTTTTTTGGGCATGCTGATGCAAGATTAATTTCTTCTTGGAAAATAAGAAGGGATAATGATGCTACAAGGATAAGCATTTCTAAGCATACGTTATTTTGGAGATGTGCTAAAACTGGTGAACTGTTTTATGTGTGATATTTTATATTAAAACTGTTTGAAACATGCTCATCATTTTACAAGGTTTGTGTGCTATAGTTCCTCTGGTTTACAGATAAATATATAAATAAGATGTAACTATTATTGTTCCTTTTAGCGGAGATTTTTGCTCATCTCTTTACTAAGAGATTTTTGGATGCATGTTGGCAATGCCCTCAGGTTCTTCAAAGGCTTTATAATCAGAAAGATACTGAGAAATGATAACAAAGAATATAGCAATAACAAAAGGAGTTGAGCCATAGAAATCAAGGGAGTGACAGAGGCTTGGGAAAGCAGAAAAAACCCGAAAAGACTAAGTTAGGAAATAAACATATGAAACACTTTTCTGTTGCCAAGATCTCAGCTGGTGTCACCATAACACTTGGAAAATATCCTCAGGATGGTGGAAACCATTAGAGCAGTACAGATTATCAGAGGATAAACTTCCACTTCAGCTGCCACTGGTAGCAGAAGTGACCAATAAGAAACGTTTAGGAAATGAAAGATGAAGAATCAAAGCATTGACATTCTGGGGATATCACAGAGCAAGTGCAAGGGTATCTAGAGGTCAGTCAAACACTATCCATCTGAAACAAGGCAGGGTGATAAATAAAAGAAATAAATCATATTCTAAAAAGTATCATCAGCTTTGAAAAGCTAATTAAAGGAAAAGTTATCTGGTGTTCCTTCTGAGCATAGATTTATTTTGTAAGTGGTATGATAGGTAAGGCTATGACACAATGATTTTTCTGTGCCTTGAGTGCCAAAACATGTAAAAGATTAATATGTTTATTGTTAGTTTATACATTGTTTATTATTGTTTATACATACTTCTTTGTAGTATATACCTGAGGGAGGTAAAAGATAACATGTACAAACCATGTCACTATTTTCCATGGGTTGGCAACATCCATCTGATAGGGAATAGACCCCATGAATATCAGAATCCACCAGGTCTTGAAAGCTACGAGTTCCAGTTTCCAGTTTTTAATTCCCTTCATTCCATTTCCAGTATTCTGTGTCTTCTTGTATACTTACAAATCCATTCTCTCAAAAGAAAATAGAAATTAAAGATGGTATTGAACAAAAACCTGAGAGAGAAATACACATGCAGTTTAAGGATATCTATACTTGTGTGCCAACTCACAGAAGTTACTAGTTCTGTATCTAAAATGTGAAGCTCTTGGGCAATAAACATTCTCTTATAGCTGTTATCTATTTTCAGTGAATTTAGCAGTGTTGCTTTTTGGTGTTTGCTGAAGAGTTTTCCCACAGGTCATACCTCTACAGATACAGTGGAAGGGATTGTTGTAGTGGGGAGCCACACAGGTCAGCGGCTAGGGCTAAGGAATGGGAGCTACTGCTTGTTGAAATCCAGGCTTTGCTTTGCCCCTGTGTGACTTTGGGGTACATTAGGCTTGTTTATGGTCAGCATATGAAGTGTCCAGCCTGGCACCTTGCCAAGGCTGAGGGCCAGGCTTTGAATGGCAGGGTGCAGATTGTACAGCGAGGCCCTCCTCGCATGGAAGTTATGAGAAAGGCCATTGACTGGTTGCAGTGTCCTTCAGTACATAGATAAATATACTTCTATGCCAGTTCTACATAGGAGTCCTTGTCACTTAGAGTGTCACCTTTTTATGACCTTGAGTCATAAAAAAACTATTCCTTCATTTTCACTCACAGAACAGTTGTCTAAAAATGTTGAAATCTCAAGGCAAAGTTCCAACTGTGAAAAAGATGGTGCTAATTAATGTGTTAATTGTCATGTAAACCTCTTTGTTTAATGAGATGTGAAATAGCCCCTACCATTAGGAATATCAATGTGCACAGGAGTTTGTCCCAAGTGCTCAGGGTCATTTATTGCTGTGTTGCAGCACAACCCAGGGCTGCTATTTCAGCCTCTTGCCAAAATAGAAATGTTTTACTTTCTGATGAGTCATCTGGGTTTCACTGAGATCTAGCAAGGTTTCCCCACCCTATTCTTCTTTGCTGTACAGTCCAGGCCCTGCCCTAGAGGCCTTGCTTTCCCAGGGAAAGATGGGGTGGAACCCCTTTCAGCAGCTGTTGGCTCTGTTCCTTGATTAACTTGGAGGGGACTGCTAGTGAATGGAACATTTTCTCTGTCACTGGAGCCGAACTTGGAGCATTCCTAGCCTTTTCTGGCCAGCAGTGTGGCAGAACAGCGCTGGCAACTGAGTTGGAGTTTGCCACACATTGTGCTTAAATGTTACCTGCATCAAGACAGAAAGGGAAGTAGGTCAACCAAAGGAGGAAGCTTTAATCTATTTTCCATGTTGGTCATATTTACTAATAAACAACACAGAAGAGCTATATGTTTCAAGAAAATATTTCCTTACTCCCTCCCCCCCCTTCTGGTGCAAAAGGGGATAGAGGAAAACTTAATTTTTTTTAAAATTCTTTTTCTTTAAATTTTTTTTCTTTAAATTATTTTCTTTCCCTTTTGATTCTGAGCTACCTGTTCTAAGGTGGCACTGATTTGAGCATGAGGTTGGACTAGATGACCTCTAGACATTTCCAACCTTACCCTGTGATTTTCAACAACCATGCTGTTATTTTGGATTCTTCCTGGCTCCAAATTACCTGAGAGAGGAAAAAACCCTCACAACTATTTTAAGATAATTTTCTTTCCCCTTAAGTTATTATTTTAATTCATTGAAAATGGACCAGGGAGAATAAAAAAACCAGGTACTTCCAATAAATAACTGTGTTATGGAATAGTTCTTTTCAGTTGTTACTTTCTGAATTTTGTTATAAAATGCTTTGATTACCATGCTCAGACTGTTTTACAGAATTGCTATTATGCAGAAATTTAGTCTGCCGAGGGCTAAATTGTTTGAGGGCTATACTCCCTGCTGCAGTCAAAAAGTGGCTTCTTACACCTATAGTCACCAAAGTTAGTCTCATGTTTCAGAAGCTGAATGTCATTGCTGATTCTTTCAGTTTATGCTTGGTGAGTCAGATGGCAAGAAGGGGTAAAATATTTACTGGTAGAGTATGTGAAATAATATGAATTTGAAAAATCCATATTGGTTTTTCAGTAATCCATTTTAGCTAAGTTCATTCGAAATTAAACTGTTTGCCCAGCTGACATCCTTAATTCATCACCCTCGCTCAAACTGAGATCTTCAAAGCCATTTACAACAGCTAAACAAACATATCTTTCATTAGCTTCGATTATAATGCCTGATGAAGTGTGCAGAAGATCTGAATCTTTAGAGATGACAGTGATGGATATAATTTAGACACAGGAGAGGTAACAGAATCAGAGTGATGCTTGGAGTGAACTTTAATCCAGAGTTTCACAGTCAAATATAGGTGGGCAGTGCATTGCTCCTTATGTGCTTCAAAACTGCTGCTGAGGCACAGTGGTAGCACAGCACATTGTACCTGCCCTGGGAAGTGAGAACTTGAATCTTCATTGCTGGCAGTGTGGCATTGTCCCCAAAACTTACTCCTCTTTAAAGGATAAACTGGAATGGAGGGGATGTAACTATCTCCTAAGTCTGAAGCAGCTACAGTAAAGAGGAAAAACTCCATGTGACACCAATTTAATTAGTATGCAATATCATTGATTAGTGATGGAAAACAGTGAGTGTTGTATTATAACTGCACAGTTCTCCAGTAGTGAAAGGATCTAGCCTTTGTAAAGTTGGCCTGCGTGCAAGGCCCTCTGCTTTCCTGTGCCCCTCAGAGATTTTGCATAAAACAAAACAGCAAGGGATAGATGATTCAACAGAAGATTTTTTTTTTTTTCTAAAACCTCAGAGGTCTCTGCTTAAGCATCCTAAGCCATAAAAAGCTAACAGTAGTTATATGCACATATGTTAAACAAACATCAGTGGAGTTGTCATTAACTTGCTGCTTATTTGAAGTGTGGGGAGGGCCTGATGCGATCTCCAGACTTTTTGAAGAAGGCACATAGCCATATGTTTTTATGTATTCTTTTCATTATTATTAGATAATGCTAACAATAGTGTTGAAGTATGGTCTGCATTAGTCTCCTAAAAGATCATATTGACCCTCAGTGAAGAAAGACTCGTTTTCCTTCTTCAGAGAAGTAATTTAAGGGTTAAGCTGATGGCAGGGCAGACATAACAAAGTTTGTCGATTCATAATTGGTTTGTACAAATGAAAATTATTTTTTTCTTTACTGTGTCCTTAAGCAATGTTTTCCTGATGAAAATGTGTATTGGTTTTTGGGTTGGTTGGTTTAGTTGGTTTTTGTTGTTGTTTTTTTTTGTTTTTTTTTTTTTTTTATCTCCTTCTTTCTCCAAAGCCAATCTGAGATCTCTGCATCCTTTATCACTGCTTGAAAAAAAGACTTGGTTATCATAAGAATAGGAAAGATAGGACAGTGGAAAACCTGAAGGAATAAAAGTCCAGACAGAGATGCACTGGCATACTGTAAGGTCTATGAAGAGCTTGTCACAGTGCCTGATGGCTCTCAGCTTCTGTTTCATTTGCTCTGATGGTTAATCATTTGCTTGAGTGCTCAGGTGCCATGGTGATGGACACACTACCAGTGCCACAAACCCAGCGTGCTGCATATTTATTGGAACATTATTTTTGAAAGGAAGCCAAAAATAAATACAACTTTTGAAAATCCTCAGCACAGCTAACATTGCCATTTACTTTCCACTCTAACAATATGAATTAGCATGGTAGGATGTAGGCATCTTCCTCCCATTTTAGACTTTTTCCTTCTGCTGTTGATATCCATAGCTTTCTCATTAA